AAAAAGAGAAGCCACCACAATGAGACACCTGCACACTGCAATGAAGAGCAGCCCCCGCTCACCGCAACTAGAAGAAAGCCCATGCACAGCAACAAAGACCCAACACAGCCAAAAAAAAAAAAGTAAAAAAAAATTTTTTTAAGGTGGGGGAGAGTTGTTCTGAGTGTCCTGTGGACCAAGGGACATGCAGGGCCCCCGCACGCGGAGCCAATCCCCAGAAAGTGCTCCACGAACACTAGAGACCTTTGCTCTGTTATAAAATCCAGCCATTAATATCCATTCCTAGAAACGCTGGGTCATTCGCATTTATTTACCAGCTTCTCAGGCATTCGACAAATATTTCCACTAGTCACAGGAACACACATTCTTTGGCCCTGTTAAAAAGAAATCCCTTTCTTAATATTGATGGATGGAGGCTAATTCACTGGTGATTGACGCTGCCTTTGGAGTCATCTTCCTGGGCAGCCTCCACGTGCAGCCGGCAACCACCTTGGGGGTGGGGATAGCGCCCCCAGCCTTTGTGACGTGATACTCCAGCTCCGGCCCCAGACATCCCCCCACATCCTACCCATGCCCCTTCCCAGGAGGACGCTCGAGGTGGACAGTGCACAGCTCTGCCCCTAGCTGGGTTTGGAGCTTTGAATCTTCCCTTCTCCCTGTTCTGTTTCCTCATCTGTAAAATGGGAATAGTAAGGCCACCCACCCCCCTCAGAGCTGTGGTGAAGATCAAATTAATTTAATGACTGAGGAAGTAATTATCTAGGAAATGCCGGATCTGGGCAAAGACAGGCAGAATGAAACATTTTCAACGCTGGGACCCTCTTTTAAAATGCATTGTCGGGACTTCCCTGGTGACGTAGTGGTTAAGCGTCCGCCTGCCAATGCAGGGGACACAGGTTCGAGCCCTGGGCCGGGAAGATCCCACATGCCGCGGAGCAACTAAGCCTGTGCGCCACAACTACTGAAGCCCGCGCGCCTAGAGCCCGTGCTCTGCAACAAGAGAAGCCACGGCAATGAGAAGCCCGCACACTGCAACTTAGAGTAGCCCCAGCTCTCCGCAACTGGAGAAAGCCCGCGGGCAGCAGTGAAGACCCGAGGCAGCCAAATTAAAAAAAAAGAAAGAAATGCATTGTCCCCTCCCCCCACCCCAGCCCCAGAGGGCAACCCAGGAAGTCCCCAAGCAAAAATGAATTTGGCACATCCTTCCCGAAGAATGAAGCGGCAATGAGGGAGCCAGATCGGCTTGGGAAGCAGCAGAGCCAGTAGGCTGTGGCGCTGAGACAGGCAGCCTTGCCCTGCCTACCCGCTTCCCCTGTCCAAGCCCTGACTTTTAGCCAGCCAGGCCTCCTGCGTGGCCTTAAGTTGGCAGGTGCTGCCACATCTGCAGGGAGTGGATGATTTGGATACCAGCCTCCCTCTTCTCAGCCTTTGCCTCCTGGGAGAGCAGAGGGGAGAGGCCCAGGTGATTCCTGACCCAGGAGCACGCTGACCTGGGAGGGGTCTAGGGTAGAAAAAGGCAGGGTGCCTGGGACGACTAGACCCTTTGTCCCCACAGCTCTGGGACAAATAATCCTCAATCAACTCCATTTATGGAGCACCTACTACGTGCCAGGCACTGCGCAAAGTGCTTTATCTGCATCATCTCCCTTAATCCTGTGACGACCTTGAAAGGCAGGTTACTATCCCGTTTCACAGATGTAGAGGCTCAGGCTAAGAGAAGCATGCGGACTTGTCCAAGGTCACAGAGCTAGAGAGTGGGGGCGCTGGGATTCGAAAACAGGATGGCCTGGCTCTTCTGCCTCTCCTCGTAATGCCTGTGGCCTCAGCTGAGAGGTGCGAGGGGAGAGGAGACTCCAGGTGGTGGTCACACTTGAGACCACTTTGCCCAATAACCAGATGTCCTCCCTGGGTCCCAGCTTCTCCCAGCAAGAAACCCCGGCACATAGAGGGGTCCTAATGAGTCAGTTCAGTCCAGCAACAGCGGCCCCCCAACAGCAGGTTGCTGGCGTTAGTCGCCTCGCCTTACACCTGCTGGCTCTGGGATGAGCCCTAAGTCCCTGCACACGTCCTGCTCCGGGTCTTCATGAAATCCTGGGCTTCGCTCCCACCTCCCAGCCTTCACATGCTCTGTAGATCCCCAGGCATGCGGCTTGGACCCTGGCCTGAAGCCCCTCCCATACAGCTGGGGGTCTGGCCCAGCCTGGTTCTCAGTCCACCTCCTTCCCGACCCTGCCAGGTCCCAGGCCCCCTGCCGATGGCCCAGCCAGCTGGTGTCTCCCTCCCAGGGGTCTCTGAGTGGGGGGCTCGGCAGTGCTGAAGGGCCGGTACTGTTTTCCTCTGTGCTGGTGACAATGACAAGCTGGTCTCCTGAGGAGAAGGTGAGATGGAAGCAGTTCCTCTGAGCCTCCACTGCTCAGAAAAGGACCAAGGATGTGACTCAGAGGATGTTTACAGCAGGAGGGATTCCCTCCTTCAGAGCCCAGTGACCGAGGGCTCTGTCCTGCCCAGCAGGCAAGGCCTAGGGACCTCCGGCTGAATGCTAAACAGGGACCAAGGTGGACACTTACAAGCCAAGGCCCAGGGCTGGTGAAGCTGGGTCAGTGGTGTCAGCACAGCAGGACCTGAGACACACACACTCCTGCGGAAACGGTGGGGGGTTGGAAGAGACGGGCTCCTCCCTCTGCCAGGCTGGACTCCATCCTCCCTGTGGGGAGGGATAAATTAGGAGATTGGGCTTAATATATACACACTACTATACATAAAATAGATAACCAGGAAGGACCTGCTGTATAGCACAGGGAGCTCTACTCAATATTTTATAATAACCTATAAGGGAAAAGAAGCTGAAAAAGAAGATATATATATGTGTATATATAACCGAATCACTTTGCTGTACACCTGAAACTAACACAACATTGTAAATCAACAATACGTCAATTAAAAAAAAGAAAAGAAAAAAAAGGTGAAAAAAAATCCTCCCTATAGTGGGCCGCAGAGGTGTCCAAACCTATAGAGGGTGACACCCCAGCTGGGGGTCAGGTAGTGTTCCTCTCCTATCCCCCCCACCGACATATTCAACCGGTTCCGAGTCCCAGCCATTCTCCCTACCAGATGGTATTTCGTCCGTCCACTTCTCCCCCTCCATCCTCATGCCCACTCTCTATAGCTCTGACCTCAGCACCTCCCCCCTGAGCCCCTGCTGTAGCCCAGGGCCGGCCTCCCTCTCCTCCAGCCACATGGCTACCAGAGCCATCTTTCCAAAATGAAAATTCCGCCTTCGAACCCTTCAATCCTCTCCATCACCATCTACTCATTTATCAAACGTTTTTGGATGCCACGTGTGGCAGGCAAGGTGCCAGGTGCTGGGGACACAACAGCAATTCAGACAGACAAGGTCCCTGCCCTCAGGGAACTCCCAGGCCAGTGCAGGCTGCAGAGGAGTCAACGGATGATGACTAGCACACAAACCACCTGCCAGGAACCGGGAAGCTCAGTTTGCTATGGAAACACAAACACAAACGTTGACACCTAACCTGGTG